ATAATAATAATAATAATAATAATAATAATAATAATAATAATAATAATAATAATAATAATAATAATAATAATAAATAATAATAATGCCTGTCTCTTATACACATCTAGATGTGTATAAGAACAAATACTTAAGGAAATAAAATTTTTGTTCTTTTTAATATTAATACAAATATTTAAAAACATTACATTTGCTTAAACTACAGTAATTGTCATACTTTCGGGGGAGGGGTGGGGGGCTACGTCCCCTGGACCACTTTCGAAAGGTTTTTTAGCGACGCCCGATCACGCCCACTTCTTTCTCGTCTGGGACTCATCAGCCCCCACCCCTGTCGGGGACCTTGGAACCCTATTGGGGAAATCCTGGTGCCGCCACTACGTATGTGTTTTTTGTAAAAAATGTTTTTTCAACCAGTTCTTGAATTCTGTTATAATCTTTATTTTATGAAATTTAATGTAAATTATATTAACGTAAATGTTTTTTTCTAAAATGACCAATCGGACCTGTTTGTTTTGGGCACGTGGATAACTTAACAGAGGGGCGGATCCAGAATTTTTCAAACGGGGGGGGGGGCACAACAATTTTAGAATAGGAAGTGAGTAGCACATGACATTGATTTGCATTGAAATTTTGAAAATTTAGTGGCAAAACGGGAGGAGGGGAACGTTCCCTGTGCCCCCTACTGGATCCGCCCCGGCTTAACGCACTCTGGTTAGTTACATTAATTTTCGTAATAGTCTATTTTACGAACCAGTCGAGTGAAACTACTCAACGAAATTGTAGTCAACAAGAACCGGTCGAATAAGCCCATTGTAAACTCAGGGAACAGTAGTGAAACACTTACCATCGGATTAGTATGCTTGTTGTAAAGATTTCTGTTAACTTTTTCAAAGCCTTCTCCCAACAAATCCTCATCCATAGTTGCCTTAATATGTAGACCAGTCTTGGATAAAACCGGCATCTTTAAAAAATTCGGTTATGGGACTAGAGACCACAACTAGCTTCCATAGAAAACAAGAATGAACGACGAAAGATTGTATGGAACGCCGTTACTGCCTTTGGTGGCTCTTTTCCGTTCGGCGCATTTGCTATTCGGCACTTTTAATATTACGTTCGGTGCTTTTACATTACGTTCGGTGCTTTTTACATTACGTTCGGTGCTTTTATTAACATTACGTTCGGTGCTTTTATTAACATTACGTTCGGTGCTTTTATTAACATTACGTTCGGTGCTTTTATTAACATTACATTCGGTGCTTTGAAACATTACGTTCGGTGCTTTTATCATTACATTCGGTGCTTTTGCCACACTTATGGATCTTTTATCATTTGGTGCTTTCTAGTTTTACCTTTCGGCCCTTTCATCATTACGAACGGTTCTTTTATCATTCGGTGCTTTCATGAACTTTGACTTCGGATCAAGTGAAAAAAATCAACGGCTGTGGGAACGAGCCTAGTGGAACTTGCACGCTCCTTCTCTCTTTCTCCTCTTTCATTTTTTTTCTTTTCTTCTTTCAACTTCTTAGTTTCATTACTGTTACGCTATATTATATTCATGTTTTGAAACACAG